TTTTTACCATAAGATCTAAACAGAGGGAAATGTTCCAATGTTGTGAAGAGTGTCCCTTGTCGTAAAACAGCTATATGACACAGACAAGTTGAAAGGAATGGAACATATCTTAAATATTTGCACAGACCTCTTTACTTGACTCTTGTGACAGCACGGCGTTCAGATCCATATCCTGAAGTTTCAGTCAGAGCACATTTCTTCCTGCGGTGACACTGCGGCGTCATTAAGGACCTTGATAACTGTGTTCAAGGGATCTAATAAGAGTCGTATCGAGTGTGCTCCTTAATTTCTGCCAGACGAAGATGAAAGCACCGTAGCTCATGTTTATGGCTGCACGCTGCCACTTGCATAATCAACAATAGGAATGGTGTGCAGCAACAACCCTCTTTGACCCTCCCTCCCCACTCCTGCATCCAGAGCTTCTTAATTAGTGCCTATTCTATGTACACCTCCAGAATGCCAAGTGATGAGATGTCTTCCTGAGACCAGCTCTGTGTGTGTGTGTGTGTGTGTGTGTGTGTGCGAGCACGCTGACCTAGCTGTATTTACTTAGTTTAAATTATAGAACCACAAGAAAAAAAATATTTAATACCAATTATATTTTTAATCTCATTTATCCTACCACTGAGACTAGGAACCCGAGTTCCTTCTCCATATTAAAGACTTAGTCTTAGGACAACCAAGAATAGTTCTGAGGGCTTCGTTTACATTAGCTCCAAGGGCCGGAGAAAATTTTCCTTAACCAACATTAACATGAGCGCAGCATAATCAATTAAGGATCTAATATAGGCTGTGTATATCATTCTCATTATTCTTACATTAGCAACAAAGTTGGGCTGTAGCCAACAACTCTTGAGATCATTTAGCCCGTCGTTGCATTCTTATTTAGTGGTGGTACGGTGGATTTACTGAAGGTTACGTCTACACCAAGTTAAATCTAAGATTGAACATTGTTGATGTTTTTACCCTGCGCAGAGAAGGGTGGGGCATGAAGATATGGCGAGGCCTGGTTGATTACATATTTGAACTTCATTAAGAATGGTACCCATTTTCTTGTGTCCTGTTATAGGGATCATGTCATCAACATAGCTTATAATTATAAGTTTAGGTGAAGTGGGTAGAACATTTAGGAGAGCATTAATGAGGATATTAAATAGCATTGGACTGAGAACTCCCTGTTGTGTACCTAGACATATGCCTTTAGATTCCTTGGTATAGAACACTTGATATTCTATTTAACAGATAACCAGTGTGACTTTGTAAATGGTCCAAGTCGGACCGAAACATCGTAAGCTCCTCTTTCTTATTTTATTTGCTGGTTGTGTATAGATAACCTATTATCCAGTTGAGTAGGTCACCACGAATATTCATTTTGGTTAGTTCATGAAGGATACCAAATCTGTTAGAAAGGTGGTAATACAATCCTGCACATTTTTCTGTTCAAAAAACCATAGAGATGAGACAAGACTTATTGTTTGATTATATAGTGTAGTTGATTAAGAAATATTCTGTCAAGTGTTTTACCAAAACAATCAAATCAACTTGAAGGCTGATCTTCATTTATTGTGCTTGAGGCAGGGAAACGAGTGGGTTTGGGGGGGGTTCTTGGGGCCGCTCAGGAATTATTCGGGTCGATTTAAACCTCCTTGTTTTCCCCTTTAAATTCCCTCCCTGTTTTTTTTGAGCCCCGATGTTTTTCGGTTCCTCATCTTTCCCTTCCTCTTGTGCTCGACGAAGTAATATGTGAAGATCAAGGGGGTTTTCCTAAAATCTGCTTTCAGAACAGGTCCTGTTCTGGTGTATCTACCGGGAAGACTCCCCTTTTAATTGGTCTTTTGTTATAAAAAACAAAAGTGTTTTCTAGTCTCTTAAAAACTAAACCATCTGCTTTATTTTCCATATTTCTTCTTATTTTTTTAAAATTTTTTTTTTTTATTATCTTCAAATAATTTTATTGTGTTATCATTATTTAAAAAAAGCTAAAACCCTTTGGGTCCCCAGTCATCTTCTCCCTTCAGTTCAGTCTCTATCTTCTTTCAATTGTTTTCCTGTCTCGTCCCCTTCCCTAAGCCGCAGATCAAAATTATCCTCTTTCCTTTTTATCGTTGTTTTTCGCCCAAATTGGCTTTTGGTTGTCGCCATTTAATTGTCTTATGTTATTTTTTCGGTTTCCTGTTTTTTTTTTTGTTGACCACAGATAATAGATAATCTCTTAATCTAGGAAAAATTAAAATAGGTCTCAGCAGTTTAACCCGGAGTGGACTTCGAAGTCCTTGCTGTCTTTCCCGTCGATCTCCACACGCTTTCATTCTCTGTCCCCTTTTTTGCTTTCTTTTCCCCCTTTTTGTTTCTCCCTCATTGTCACTGCCCCCCCCTTTTCCTCCTTCTCTTTCCTCTCATTCGTTTGAGCTGTTTTAGCTTTTCGCCCTTCTCAGTTCTGGGCATTCCTTTTTGCGGTCATGTTTTTCTCTTGTTTTTTGTTTCCTTACTGATCTCTTAGCAATCCTTTGGTTTTCTCAGAGACATGTTCAGTGTCTTCTCTCACCCTCATCCATTTTGCCCCCTTGTGTCAAAAACATCCGCTTAACCTCCTTTTTTTTACCCCATTGTTTTTTTGGGGGGGGAGGGGGTATTTCCATTTCTATTCTTTTTGCGGCTCACACAGTCAGGTGGTTTGTTTTTTGGCTTACAAACCAAAAGTTAAAAATACAATGCAAAGTGCAGTTACTTAATCAGAGTGTTTGTCATTTCGAAAGAACAGCGCATAACATTTTTCCGGTTTCTGACAAACTAAAACCACCCCCCCCTACCCCACCACCACCACTACGCTACTTCAAAAACCCCCACATTAACACCCGCTACCCTCCCCACCACATCCCACTGGTATCCCACCACCACAAATATATCTACGTTTTTTTTTATCTTCGAAACAAAATCTCCGGAGATCCTTCATGTGTAACTCAAGCGAGGCCTTTCCAGTGTGTGGATGTTTGATGTGATGTTTCCATTGAATGGAGGGATGGCATGGAGACTAGAGGCTGTGGGGGGGTTGGCACCCCCGGGAGCAACACACCCCCTGGACTCACTATTTTATTAATGGGCAGGCGGTCAGAATACTAAGTTCCCGAGACCATACACCAAAATAGTATTCTTTAAAAGCTAGCTCTTTTCTAACCCGTTTTTAAAATCATTCGAGGCTATCTTTAAAGAAAAAAATAGGGGTTTGACTCGGTCGACACGGTGTGTGAAGGTTTTTAAAAAAGGACAAATAAGGAAGTAGCAAATAAAGGAGAAAAGCTTGAAGGTTAAAAGACTACTGGACCACAAGGCTCCAGCTCATGAGGAATATGTGGTTAGAAAACCTTTAAAAAGGGTAGAAGTGCACGCAGCCTGCCCAGCGTGGGGACCCCCTGACTTTTTAAAAAATGTTTTGGGGATTTAAAAATGTATGTTATTATTGGCTGTTTCCCGTGCCAGGTGGGCAGGGGGTTGAAGTGGGGGAATGAGGTGTCTAGGTGGGCAGGGGGGAATGCAGTGGGAGGGAAAGAGGTGTTAGGTGGGAGGGGGGAATGTCAGTGGGGGGAAAAGACGTTTCTAGGTGGGCAGGAGGGGAGTGGTGGGAGGAATGAGCGTGTTAGGTGGGCAGGGGGGTATGACAGTGGGAGGAATGGCGTATCTGGTGGGAGGAGGGTATGGCAGTGGAGGGAAAGGAAAGTATCTGGGGGCAGGGGGTATGGGGGGAGGGAAAGGGAAAGTATCTAGGTGGGGAGGAGGGCATGACAGGGGGGGAAGGAACGTATCTAGGTGGGCAGGAGGGTATCAGAATGGGAGGAATAAAGCGTGTCTGGTGGGCAGGAGGGTATGACAGTGGGGGGAAAAGAGCGTATCTAGGTGGGCAGGAGAGTTTTGGCAGTGGGGGGAAGGGAAACGTATCTAGGTGGGAAGGAGGGTATGACATGGGAGGAAGGAACGTATCTAGTTGGGCGGAGGGGGTATCAGAATGGGAGGAATGAGCGTGTCTAGGTGGGCAAGAAGGAATGACAGAGGAAGGAGTCTTGATGTCCGAAGAATATTGCTATCAAATTTATTTTTTTTGTTCATTAGTGTAGACAGAACGAGACAATTTATAGTCATGTAAAGCCTCGCATGAACTCTCAAATGAACCTTAACATAAGTCCTCATTCAAACCCTTTTAAAACATAAGTCCTCATTCGAACCTTAACATAAGTCCTCATTCGAACCTTAACATAAGTCCTCATTCGAACCTTAACATAAGTCCTCATTCGAACCTTAACACAAGTCCTCATATGACCCTGATTCACATAAACCCTTATATGGACCCCCGACATGAACCCTCACATGAACCCCACATGAACCTCACCATGAACCCTCACATGAACCCTCACATGAACTTCTCTCATGAATCCTCTCATGAACCAACACTTAACAGCCAGGCGTAGTTAATATACCTCATCAACAAGGAGAGAGAAGAGAGAATAAGACTTTCCTTAGTATGGTAACAAGTAGTGAATATACTTGCCACCATACGATGGTTTGCGATAGATGTGAAAACAAGAGCCTGTAACAGAAGGGTGTGTATATCAAGGCAAGGAAGCCATGAGTTTAGTCTCATTCAGCTATGAACGTGTTAGAAAGCCTTTCTCTTCTTTTTCTCGCTCAGCTGTGACCTGATAATGGCCCACTATTTACCGAAACGTCGTCTAAAGATTCCTCTCAAGGCGTGGCAAGCAGCTATTGAATGAATGATGGTGAAGGTGCTTTTTTTTATAGGGGAGTTATTCTATCTCTGTGGGAGATGGCTGGTGTGTAAAAAAAATAATTACAATAATAATAATAATTGTATTATTACTATAGTCATAGAGAAGCACCAAACCTGTATGGGTCATGTAGCACCAGGGAAATGGGGTAAAAAAAGTTAAATGCGAAGACAAGGAAGAAGGATTGGCTCTGATTCCTTGGATCAAGAGCCCAAGACTGACCGTGTACAGATGTGTAGCTGGGGACGACTGAGTCCAGCCAGGGTGCGACACACGTCGGGATCCAACGGCTGGTCCCAGATACTGGCGTCCCACGGCGGTACGAACGTCCGGTTCACTACATCGTTGGGCGACGAACCCATCACCGGGTATCCGTAATTCGGATAACCGACCACCGGGTTCTCCGGGTATCGGATATTCGAGATATCATCCAAGGGATAGCCGATGGCGTTCCCGGAAGAGCGGCCGCTGTGCAGACTACTGAAGGTGTGTTCCCTGTGGTAGGCGCTGCTGTGGTAGTTGTGGTCCGAGGCCAGGTACTCTGGGTGATGCTGTGGGTACTGTGGTACTGTCTCCTCCCAGCTGGAAGGGTACCCCGGGTAGAGGGAGGCGTAGCTGTCTTGGAAGGTGGGCATCTTGTGGTACTTTTTGGGATACCCGGGTGGGAGGTGGACCTGTACCCCTTCATGACCTAGCCTGTGCAAGACAAACCAAAGGTGTCCAGTTAGTAAGAGACCTTTGTAGACGTAGTTATGACATAGTACGATACTACTCTGGGGTACACAAACATACACCCCCACCCACCCAAAAACACACACACACACACACACACACACAGGTCTAAGACGAGGTATGATAAAGCTCATGGAGCAGGGAGAGGGCCTAGTAGCGATCAGTGAAGAAGCGGGGCCAGGTGCTATGTATCGACCCCTGTAACCACAAATAGGTGAGTACACACACACACACACACACACACACACACACACACACACACACACACACACACACACACACACTGGTTACAGTACCTTGTATAACATCTGAAGATGAGACTAATTTTAACATATAAAACACGCGAAATAAAAGGCAAACTGTTTCAACAGACATAAGACTGAGAGGAAAATCGGAAGATTGTCCTGGTGGGAAGCTCTCACCACTGGGGTGCCACAAGCACTTGTACTCGCCCCAGTAATAATTTTAACTGACATAAACGACTTAACTGTATGGATGTAGATTATGCAAAAATCCCTTTCAAAAATTCAATAAACGAAAAAGACTGTAAACCCCTACAAGACTTGAATAAATTGAGGAAATGCAGCAGAAGATTGATAATGGAATCTAAAATATAGACTGTGATAAAATATTGACATTATAGACAGATTAAACGTGGCGTTATTTAAAAAAAATATATCTCTGAAATAATATATATTTGGATGAATAATTAACCCATGAAAAACTTTATAGACCAAAATTATATACGTTATACATACATATATATATATATATATATACATATATATATATATATATATATATATATATATATATATATATTATATATATATATATATATATATATAATGTGTGTGTGTGTGTTTATTTATTAATATAATTTAATGAAATAATTACTGGGATAATTACTGTAGCTACAGAAACATAAATATATGAAATTACCTTCATACAAAAATACACACACACGACTACATACGCATACATACATATTACACATGCACATACACGAATGAAGGCACGCACATGCATACAAGAGTACGCAGGCATCAGATACATGAATGCACGCACTCACACACAGTTGCTCACACGCGTACATTCATGACTGCTTACATACACGTACATGATAGCACACACAGATGCACACATGACTGCACACACGCACGCAGCATGAAATGACACAATCTGTATGTACACACACATATACAAATAAACATTACACATACATATGCATAAAATATGTTAATAAATTGTATATACGAATATATTCATGTGGGCAGCTGAATCTGACTCCCAGACTAAACATAAACAAGAACGAGAACAATAAACATAACAGTAAGCAAGAACAAGTATTAACAAGAACAATAAACATAACATGTAAACAAGAACAACAGTAAGAACAGGTATTAACAAGAACAAACAACGGTAATCAAGAACAACGGTAAGACAGAAAAAGTTTTAACAAGAACATTCAACAAGAATAACAGTGAAGAACAGAACGGCAACAGCAACAAACAATAACAGCTTTTAACAAAAACAGTAAAAAAGAATTACAGCTAAGAGCAGTAAATAACAGTACAAAAGAACAAGTTTTAACAAGAACAGTACACCGTGAGGGAGGGAGCGACCGACCCTGGACAACACCCGCTGCCGGACGACCGACCGCGACGAGCAAGCCAGCCAGCCAGCGACCGCGGAACCCGCGGAAGCAAACGACCATCAGCGACCACTAAACAACCGCAACGAATGTTATTACCAGCTGACCAGTGTTGCCATCTAGCGCACGCTAAACACACCCTTGAGAAACTCCTTTTAAACTTCGCTGTATCTACCGGGCCCACAAACACGCCCACACTTTCATTCAACACTATACACGAAATCTTCAGTAGGTCAAAGGACAAAAATGATCATTCCCGGAAGTGTGAAATTCGTTGGGCATCAGGCAAGACGCCTGGGGGAATTCCATTAGTATCAGAGGTAAAATCTGCCTTGTAAATGTGTTTCGTCGCGGCGTGATTGCCCTAATAACATTCTTGTTCATTTATCTCTTAATTGAGGGGTGAGGGACGAGGGAGGTGTTGCTAGCAGAGTGTAGTGTTTATCAACTAGTGTTTGTGTTACTCTGTCCCGTGTCTACACACCTGCAGGGGCGGATGTGTGTGTGTACACCCACTCTCCACCCACACCACAAATATGTAACTTGTGTCACCTCACACACACACACACACACACACACACACACACACACACACATACACATTCTTCACACTCAATTGGTAATTAAGACGAGCTGGATGAGGCGGCGGAGGAGGCAAACACCACACACAGTTTCAAGAATAGGCAGGATATACATTGGGCCCAAGAAGCCAGGAACCAACGATACTTGTCCAAGAGCTGAGACTCAACCCCTGTGGGGATGACAGGCGTCTTATTGGTCAAACAGTCCGACGCTGAGGAAATCCGGCAGGAAAACATTCATGTGACTATTAACAACAGAACAGAAAGACCAGATAAGAAAGGGGCTTTGAAAAGAGCCTGTAAAATTGATTTGTGTAAAAAAAATCACCCCTGGGTATAAATGTGCAGAATTAACCTTTCTTCTTTGAACTTTTTTTTTTTTTTTGGGGGGGGGGGGGCGTTTATAATAAACTTACACTGGTAAACAAACGAAAAAAATGGCTTTCTTGATTGACAAAAGATTTAAAGCTACTGTCCTGTGTGTCAAGTGATGGGAGAACTCAGATATCTGTAGAATACAGCAAGGCTAGTAGTGGGACCAGTAGCTGGACCTCAACATTTCTAGCAGGGTTAGGAGGTAGAGTACAGTTGGAGGTGGAGCTCCACAACACGCCTCAGAGATCCGATGAGCTTTCTGCAGACGAACTGCGAAGAGAATGCTCACGTTTGGAACAACGCTTAGCTCTGTGTACAGCTTTATTGCCATGATGGACTTGATAAAGCTCTACACAGAGCGAAACATTGTCCCTACGGAAGCTTGTTCTGTAGCCTGTGTATTTAGCCACGCTCCAAGGAGCTGGGGAAGAGAGGATGCTGACTAATAATTTCAAAAACGGCTTCGGAAGAAAAAAAAATTCCCTCAACGTTTCTCCAGGCACGTTTCCTCCGTTACCACTACAAAAACGTTTCTGCTACATTTCAGCCCCCGTGGGAACCTGACCTCCACAATCACACTCTCCTGCCCCAGCTCTCACTACATGGAGACGATGAATTGGTATGTTGGAGGTATGCTGGAGGTATGTTGGTGGAATGTTGGGGGAATGCTGTCCCTGCGTCTTCTGTCCAACACGGTTACTACACCACAACACTATCGATGATGGTAGTGCTGGTGTAGTGCCGATGATAATCGTTGTGGTGGTGATTGGGTTGATGGTTATTGTGGTGATAGTGCTTAAAGCGATAGTAATGGTGACCGAGTACCTGGCGACGCACAGGATATATCACGATGCACACGATTATGTAAGATGCACAAGATATAGGAGGATACAGCTGACATTGCGCAGCAAGCGCTTGATCTGTTAAGTGGCGTCACCTGGATAATCTGAACGGGAGAGGTTTAGCATAGTTACCCTTCCATTAATAGCTCCACTAACACAGGATTCTCGAAGAATAACAGCCACAATACCCTGGCTGGAACAAGTCACAATACCCTGGCTAGAGCGTCACAATACCCTGACTAGAACACGTCACAATACCCTGGCTGGAACAAGTCACAATACCCTGGCTAGAACACGTCACAATACCCTGGCTAGAACGTCACAATACCCTGGCTAGAACACTTCACAATACCCTGGCTAGAACATGTCACAATACCCTGGCTAGAACACGTCACAATACCCTGGCTAGAACACGTCACAATACCCTGGCTAGAACACGTCACAATACTCTGGCTAGAACACGTCACAATACCCTGGCTAGAACAAGTCACAATACCCTGACCGGAACAAGTCACAATACCCTGACAGGAACAAGTCACAATACCCTGACAGGAACAAGTCACAATACCCTGACCGGAACAAGTCGCAATACCCTGACCGGAACAAGTCGCAATACCCTGACTGGAACAAGTCGCAATACCCTGACCGGAACAAGTCACAATACCCTGACCGGAACAAGTCACAATACCCTGACCGGAACAAGTCACAATACCCTGACCAGAACAAGTCACAATACCCTGACCGGAACAAGTCACAATACCCTGACCAGAACAAGTCACAATACCCTGGCCGGAGCAAGTCACAATACTCTGACCGGAACACGTCACAATACCCTGGCTAGAACACGTCACAATACCCTGGCTAGAACACATCACAATACCCTGGCTAGAACACGTCACAATACCCTGGCTAGAACACGTCACAATACCCTGGCTAGAACACGTCACAATACCCTGACTGGAACAAGTCACAGTACCCTGACCGGAACAAGTCACAGTACCCTGACCAGAACAAGTCACAATACCCTGACCGGAACAAGTCACAATACCCTGACCGGAACAAGTCACAATACCCTGACCGGAACAAGTCACAATACCCTGACCGGAACAAGTCACAATACCCTGACCGGTACAAGTCACAATACCCTGGCCGGAGCAAGTCACAATGCCCTGGCCGGAGCAAGTCACAATACCCTGGCCGGAGCAAGTCACAATGCCCTGGCTGGAGCAAGTCACAATACCCTGGCTGGAACAAGTCACAATGCCCTGACCGGAACAAGTCACAATACCCTGGCTGGAGCAAGTCACAATACCCTGACTGGAACAAGTCACAATACCCTGGCTGGAGCAAGTCACAATACCCTGGCTGGAACAAGTCACAATACCCTGGCTGGAACAAGTCACAATACCCTGGCTGGAGCAAATCACAATACCCTGGCTGGAACAAGTCACAATACCCTGACTGGAACAAGTCACAATACCCTGGCTGGAGCAAGTCACAATACCCTGGCTG